TTTTCTCAATATTCAACTGCTCTGGTATATAAAGCTCTTTCCTATACATATGAAAGTGCCCATAAATTTGTTTCTCTTGTCTACCCAGACTAACACATGTGGTTTGCTCTTTTGTGCTTCTTGGCCCCACAAAGCCACAGTTTCTTTCTCTGTGATCTACAGCAAACTTTAAAATGCAGTAAAAAAAAAAAAAAATCAACTCATGGGGCTCTCTCATACGTTATCTCCAACTTCTTTCCGCCTTCTACAGAAGCTAGGTATCTCCACTTTATGGATGAGAAGAACGCTGATGCTTGGGACCCTTGTCCACCTGGCCGTTAGTCAACAAATAGAACTCAAACCCAGATCTGCCTGCCTCTAGAACACTCACTCCTCCCAATATCCAAAATGTTTCTTTGAGCATTTAGAAAACTTGAGGATAATTCTGGAGACCAGTGCCCGGAGAAGGGCATCATGCTTGGTAAAGGGAAGGGGCAGCGAACAGAGGAAGCCCCTCAACGAGATGAATTGACACACGGGGTACAACAAGGGGCTCCAATATAGCAACAACTGTGGGGATGGTGCCGGCCCGGGCAGCGTTTCTTTCTGTGTGCACGGGGTCCCCGTGAGTCGGAGCACACTTGACGACACCAAACAGCCACCAGAGTGTTCAAGAGCTGAACACTCCAGTCCAAGTTTGCGTATGAGAGAGGAAAAGACTGACAAAAGTTGTCTTACCAATTAACTCTATTATTCCAATACCAGCCTCTGCAGAAAGCAGATGGTTCACCAAACATCAAGAAAAATAAATCTACGTCGGGGCCTTGAACCCACCCTGAGTGGACAGGGATGCAGGATACTTTCAAGAGACTTCACCGGTGGAAGGCAACGGGAGAGGTGAGAGCCAAGAACATGCTCTCATTCCCCCGTGGTCTTTATGGCCATGTGAAGGGTGCCCTGTTTCTGACACGTGGTTCCCAGATACCAAGATGCCATCTTTACTGCAACCACCTTTAGGTTCCTCATCTAGTGCTGGACCATTGACGCCATTTGAGAACTTCCTGAGATGCATTTACCACGTGCAAATATGGACAAAGAGCACTGTAGCACAATGGCTATGCGCTCAGCTATTATACCTAACAATGACAGCCTAGAAAACCCATGGGCAGTTCTACTGTGTCACACAGAAGTCCAGCCCATGGCCCAACAGCAACATGCAAAGCCCTAAGAGGAACACATGATAAGCGCCACCTCTTACTGCTAGTAAAACTGTCAACTACTACCCAGAAAGAAATACACTGTGACATTGCATAAATAAAAACCATTACAAAAAAAAAAATCAATCGGC